GCTCCGAGCCGCCCGCGGGGCCGGCGCTCGCCCCCTTCCTCCGGCGATGCGTTCGGCTCCTCCTCTCGCCCGTCCGCCTACTTGCCCGCCTGGGCTTACGGGACTCCTTCTGTACGAAAGTCTTTCCGTGTCTCACGGCCAAGGTGGCGCCCATCTGCAACCGTAAGGTCTACCAGCAGAAACAAAAGCCGTTCAGCAACTGGAGAAAATTTGCAGGCCCTTCGGGCCAGCTCACGTTGCTGGAAATCGGCACGGGCACTGGCACCAATTTCCAGTTCTACCCCCCAGGCTGCCGGCTGACGTGCACCGACCCTAATCCCAACTTCAGAAAGTTCCTCCTCGGGAGCCTCTCGGAGAACCAGCACCTTAAGCTTGAACATCTGGTGGTTGCTTCTGGCGAGGATCTGCATCAAATACCGGACGGCGCCGTGGACGCGGTGGTGTGCGCCTTAGTGCTGTGCTCTGTCACCAACATCAAGAAAGTCCTGACGGAGGTTTTGCGAGTGCTCAGGCTGGTAAACTGGAGCAGCGCGAGGGAGATCGGGGATGCCGTATTTGTGTCGTGGTAAGCCAAGTTGTGTGTACTGACCTACATTTAGGATAAATGCAATCACCTGCACCAGGCCAAGAGTTTGCAATCAGCCATCACACCCGCCTACCCACTCACAAGTAATTATTTGGGGTTTTTTTGCATTGCTTCACCTGCAGATGAAAAGAACCAGCTCAGCCTCCTTCCCCTCTCCCTCCTCAGCGTGGCTGGTGTGCCGCCACGCACGCGCAAGGTCTGGAGTACCTGCAAGGTGGTGCCGATTGCCCGGGCAAGTGAGAGACACAGCTACTCAACCCGGGCAGCCTGGCTCCTGCGCTTGCAGCTGGGCAACCTGCAAAAACCCCAAGGCCAAAGCTGTTCCAGAAAGAAAAAGAAAAGAAGAAAAAACAAACAAAAGAAAACCCACCCAAACCCCAACATCACGGGTGCAGGGGGTGCTGGGAGCTAGGAGGAGCAGAGCAGTACCGGATAAGCGAGATTACTGCAGTACAATGGTGGACTAAGGGGAGGGAAGCAGGAAGGGATGTGCGTTGTAACGCGGGTAAATTATTAACAACAATTTCAGTTCATAGTTGCCATGTGCGTTCCCTGGCGATTCTCTCTCTTATCTTTAAAACTTGTCCACTTAAGCAGCTACTTCCATTGTAATCTAAAGTGACGCTTGTAAAATGCCACATTCACGTCTCTCTCTTCCAATACTTTTTTTCTCCAGTTAGAGTAACCGGGGAAGAGTTTAAATTAAACCTAACACAAACCCTACCCATGCAGGTGAGCTGAGTCTGCGTAACTGGCCAGAGCCTCCATGTGTAAAGGAGACTGCAGCCCTGTGTGTGGCTGAAAACCTAATTAATTCCTCGAGGCAATATCTTGTATGCTCTTGCAAAGCAAAACTAGGGAAGAGGGAGTGAGATCATACCCACCACGCTCCGCTGAGAGGAGGAAGGAAGGATCGGCTCTGAACCCTTGACTTCTCTGTTTGGCTCCGCTGAACAAGTTCTGCAGGAAAGGTTTGCTTACAATACCAGATTTGCTTTTTATCTGTTATTTATAAACACAGAAAGATATTGAACAGATGTGGTGGTCAAAGATACAATTAAACTTTGATAGGGTTCACAAGACCGACAATGACAAAACTATTAGGCACTACATACACTGACTGTAGCCTGGGACACTACATTTCTGCTTGCTAAAGCTCTCTCACATGTTTTATAAATGTTAAGAAATAAACTCTTTTCCTTGCTGGTACGTAGGGTAAGCAAATTGTTTATTCACACTTCTCAGATGAGAAAAACTGAAACACAAGGAAGTTAAAGTGGTTTGTCCAAGCTCATCCAAGGCAGAGGCAAAAACCCGGTGGCAGCAGTTCCTGCCGTCAGGCCGTGCTGCCTCTTGCACAGTCCTACGTTGCGCCTGTCGGTAAACGTGTGGGCCTCCGGTAATAACCACCGCCTTCAGCGAAAACTGAATGGGAGGCACTTCTAGAGACTTCACAGTTCGAAAACTGTTCAAAACATGACTCTAGCATGCATAACATCTAGGAAAGGAGGCTGATCTTCAGAGAGGTGATAAAAGGCGGTGTGTTTACCGATATCCAAAAGACCAAACTCTGCACACAGAGGTGAACAGCCCTAAGTCCTTTTAAATTTTTTTTTTTTTATGGCACTGTTTTCCAGGGTGGAGCTTTCTACTTCTTGGAGCACGTGGCTGCAGATCATTCCAGTTGGACCTACTTTTGGCAAAAGGTCTGTGACCCAGTCTGGAAGTATTTTGGAGATGGATGTTCCTTGAGCAGAGAGACACAGCAGGAGCTGGAGAAAACTAATTTCTCAGAACTGAATTTGAGGTGCATTCATGTCACACCTTCCTGGATTCCTACTAGTCCTCATATCATTGGGTATGCAGTAAAATAAATGACCGTGAGCACTCCGGGACGCAGGACCTCCCTTCAGTACTCCTTTCGTGCTCTATAGAAGGTTTTTCACCCTTACAGTCAGCTCATATACAGCAGCTGGCTACCCAGAATAAAAGTATGGAGAACTTCGTGAGCACCCACAGCGCATTCGGACTGGGAATCGCGTTCTTCCATTTGTTAGACAGGCTTTCTGGATAGAGCTCCGAAATAGAGCCGCTGCACAGGGAGCGGGCAAACTGGAAAGAAGTCTAGACAGCACGTTTCGGTCCAATACAAAATAAAGGAGGAGGCAGCATCTTAGAGACTTGAGAAGGGGGAGAGGGAAGAAAGGGAACAGAAGATACACGCAAGCGAGGACAGAGGGCTCTAAGGGCAGAGAATAATGCCCAACTTCTAACATTTCCGATACAGGACACATGCATAATAGATACAGCATCAGTACAACCATTTCATTTCAGCCTTCCCATTATGAAATGTATCTATGAGCAGGCGTTTGTTTGCCCGAGCCAGTACAGTCCTCCCTGCCAGGACTTTCGTTTATTCAGGGAAGTGCTCGTTACACCACCAGGTCACTAGGCATAGTTCTCACTGGCCATTAGGTGCTAATGCTGTCGGCGCAGCTTTAACTTGAAACAGCCGCCTACAAAGCAGAAAACGGAACTTCTCTTTACACTGGGAGAAAATTGGCATTTGTTAAATCAGATGGCAGAAATCTCATCTCCGCTGTAAAATGCTGTTGCTGTGTCAAATGCTGTTGCTCTGAGGACATCAGCCATGTCCTTAGAGCCCTTTTGTCATGCTCTACTAACGTGTTTTACCTATGCTTAAGCTCTTCATCTTCTATGCTCCCTCCAAATCTAGATCACACCTTAAAGAGGTCTATTCTAAAAGCCAGGAGTTTCATTAGAAATGTTTTCCAGTTGAACTCCCCTACGATGCCGAGAGAAGGTGCTGCTCTCTCGGCCGCTGTTTAACCTTTTCTGTGATTTCCTGCAGTATAGCAGTAAGGAATTAAAACCTGGTACAGATTATACTTGTAAGAAAATAATGCATTAATGTCTTTATTTTGTACTCCATACACATCCAACTAGTCTACACAGAAAGTAATTCCCATTGTTCAAATTTGTTTCTCTAACGTAGTTGCCACAAGGTGGAGGTATGAAGGTATGACAACAGTTTGTTAATAAAGCAATCTAATAACGACACTGCCGTACGCTGGATTTTATATTTGCTTTATTACCACTAGAGGGAGAAGGCAACTCGTCAGACAACGGGGCTACCTATCACTCAACAGAAAAACAAAATTCTCCCAACGCAATTCGCAATAGAACTGCCTTCATTAGGGACCTTAAGTCCTCCTTTCCCTATACCAGGCTCACCTGGAGCAGGGCAATTGAATGCTCGGGGCTAATCTGCATCGCTACCAAGTCCTTTGAAAAAGCACTGGCGACTGCAAACCTGAAAAAGTTTTACAGAATGCATTTAGCCTAGAATGGACTGTTCATTGTTGACTCAAGCTTATAAAGTTAATAAAACCAAACCATATACTGTATGCAGTGATTACTGAATTAATAAATTGTTTTATCTCTGTTCCATGATTCCCATCAAAGGTCTGAAAGACAACTAAGAACAGCAAGCTCATTAACTGCAAAGGAGCCCATACGCGCATACCAAAGTATTTTAGGTCTCCACAAAGTGGAAAGACTGAAAACTGCTGCTGCAGAGAAAGCAGGGAGCAAGTAGCTGACTAGCTCGTCCAGCTACTTACAACAGGGTGGTAAATGAACTCTTAAACAAATGCAATGTTAATCAAACTCCTAACGAAACGCCTACAGCAAATCCAAAGGTCAGATTAATTTCCTTCGGCTCACTAAAGACAACATACGGTTGCTTTAAGAGATGTGAACTGTAACCTGAAACTGCTGAACACCAAATTAGGGCATCTTATGACATTTTGCCAGTGGTTACAGACAAAGTTGTACTGCCCAGTTTATCCCGGTTACGTAACAGACTGGCAGCGCCTCTTCGGCCGGAGCTGGGACGCTGCGGTAACTGTTGGGTATGCAGTCCTGTTTCTCCCTTCCTTGCCTGTGACCGGACTTTGAAATCAGCCTTAGAGAAAAGTCTACCAGATCAATCCAAGGAGCTGAATACGCTTCAAGAGGAACACGGCAAGTACACGAATGCAGCTCGGTCTGAATTTCAAGGGCTTTGATATACAGAAGAACTAGTTTTGCTCAGTACGGATCCTCTGCCCCACGCAGGAAATGACAGAGGCCAGCGTCCTCTTCCTCCGTGCCTGCCTCGCACTGCTTGCCATGCCCATCTACCTGCTATCGTTCCTGGGCATATGGGAGCCTTTCTGTAGGAAGATCTTCTTTCCTTATTTCTTAGAGAAGTTTTCTGCAGTTCACGAGAGGAAAACAAAGAAGCAGAAACAGGAGCTATTTCGTAATCTACCTGACTTCACGAGCCCCTCAGGAGAGCTGAAGCTGCTGGAGATCGGGACCGGCTGCGGTGCTAACTTCCAGTTCTACCCACCAGGCTGCAAAGTCACGTGCACCGACATAAACCCCAACTTCCAGCGAGGCCTTTCGAGAAGCATGAACAAGAACCAGCACGTCCACTACGAGCATTTCCTAGTAGCTGCAGGAGAAGACCTGCACCAGGTGCCCAGCGGTTCTGTGGATGCCGTCATCTGCACCTTGGTCCTCTGCTCTGTGCACAGTGTGAACGGCACCCTGAAGGAGGTACTGCGAGTGCTCAGACCAGTGAGTATCTGAATAAAAAGTTTTGTTATTACCTTTATCAGCTATTCCAGAGGCACTGCCCCAAAAGAAAAAAAAGAAAAAGGGAAAAAAAAAAAAAGAAAAGAGTTGGTTTTGAGCTTACAGACCAGACCCAGTTTATTTCCCTAGTTAAATCGGATTTATAACCACTCTGCACTGCTAAATGGTACAAAGCAGTAGCAACATACTGGTCAGCCTGTCCTATTCTTAAAAGTAAAACCCTCAAAATAAATAGTCTGGTAACTAGAACTGCCACTAATTTGAGAAGTAATTACGGTATATCATTTAAAGCAGAACTGGTTCCTGTGGCGTTGTCTCTCCCCACACACACCAGATTTTCTTTGGGTGGGAAGCTCTCTGATCAAGACTGAAAGTCTGCATTTTAAATGAGCTGCTTTAGCCTCTTAGAAGTGGGGCTGATCTACCTGTATGACTAAAACAGTCTAATTAAATGCCTTCATTCCCTGTGGTATACTAATCAAGCTAAAGATTAAAAAAAGCTGTTTTGCTGGGGTATTTTTGCAATAGACTTTCAGCCTTTAAAATGGCGTTTTCAAGACAACCCTCTGGGTTGTCAAAAACTGATGAGTTTGAGTAGGATTTACACATTTCTCTTAGTTTCCTTCAGAAAAAATGACATGCTAGCAACTGTAATTGAAACAAAAAGACCACAAACTATTGTGATAACAAAAGAGGGATCAAATAAGTACATCCTTCACGCTTTTTGAATAGGCATTTTGAATCTCTGGAAGCTTCCTGCTTACATTAGTTCCAACTGACACCACAAAAGCAAAAAGCGGGCAGGGAAGGGGTGGGAGAATACTGATGAGCGAGCAAACTGCACAGGCACTGGTCTGTATTTGAGCGGAGGTGGGATGGAGGGAGAAGTTCGGCGTAACCCCAGCGCCTGCTGCAGCTCTGTAAGACGACCTTGTTTTTCCCAGGGAGGCGCTTTCTATTTCTTAGAGCACGTGGCCGCTGATCATTCCAGCTGGAAGTATTTTTGGCAGCAGATCTGCTATCCGACTTGGAAACTCGTCTTTGATGGATGCTGCCTAACGAGAGAGATATGGAAGAATCTCGAACAGGCCAGCTTCTCGGAGCTGAAATTACAACACATAAGCGTAGCGCTGCCCTGGACGCCCATTCAGCCTCACATCATCGGGTACGCCGTGAAGTAACTCCCACCGCCCTGCTGGGCCTTCTCCCCTGTCGTCGTGTCCCCCCCCCCAAATTCCTTGACATAATCAACGCAAACAACAGGGCATAGGCTAATCCAGACGTCCGAATCTAGGTAACACGGTGAAGGACTTTAATTAAGTTTCGGATTCAAGCATCAAATGAGAAGATAGAGTCAGTTTTCTAAACATCTTTGAAGCCCCTGTGCTGCTGACGGTGCCTCACTGGCCCCCAGCGCAGCCCATGGAGGATCCCGGGAGGAGGCTGCAGGAGAGCGCAAAACAGCCCAGCAGGCAGAAAGGAAAGAAAACGCATTAAGGGAACTCCTGCCTACGTCTGGTTAACTCCGGGAAGGGATTCCTTCAGGCCTTCCCCGCGCTGGGAAACAGCCGGGCCTCGGTGAGCCGCTGCACGCCGGCGCTGGGCTCGACCCGCTCCCCTCACCCCACGCTCCGTCACGGCTGTTCACGTTCCAGCCTCACAGAACTAAACGGCCAGATGCAAACCCTTAGCGCCGAACTTCTGCTCAGCCGCGAGTATTTATTTACATAAAGGCTGGTGGGCGGGATGGGGGAGGGCAGGCACCCACCCTGCCTCCCCACATAACACCGAAGCCTCTCGGTCAGTTGGCTGCCTGCCCGCCCCTGCGCGGTTAATCGGTTCTAACACTGTTGTGCCACTGGAGGATTAAAATACTCGTGTTTAACGTGACGCGCTCGGGAAGTTTCTTTGAGAGGCGCCGCCGCCTCAGCCGCCCTTGGCGGCGCCCC